TTAAACGGTTTAAATGAGTTTGCAACTGGCAAATTACGTCGATTGTCAATAACCTAGCCATTTCTAAGCTAAATCATCTTTGAGCGCGGTTCACCTGTATACAGTCATATAGTGATTTGTTGTCAATATAGTCAAAGTTTCGCACGTGTTCCGTATTTTCTGAAACACATGTAAAGTAACGAGGGACGAGTTCATAAAAACGACCAAGAGATGTCGCCTACTCATTCATCGAAAAGTTAGGTAATTCTGAAAAATAAAAGCCGAAAGATACCTCCATGATATGCGGTATCGTGCAAGTGGCCGTTCGGATATCCCCGCACTGTCCGAAGAGCAGGGGAGCGCCCCATCTGAGTGGCAGAAACCAATTAGGGCCACTAAAGTGCAGCACAAGTGCCGCAATATTGCCTTGGTAACTCCCACATCTCTTGACCTATACAGTTGAGCACCTGTCACCGTCCGGCACATCCGCCTACTCAGCTGCCACACCTGTCATCGTGACAGCTCATTTACACCTGTCACAGTGACGGAGCGGCGCGGCTGCTGCGGTGGCCGCCCGTCATCCGCCGCGGGGGTGAATTGTGAGATATACAGTCTACAGAGCTGCAGGACCGCCCGTAACGCCCACATCGGGTCATCGTCCTTCTGCGCTCCCTTTCAGCGCTGCGCTGTGACCGCAGAGGTTTAATCACAGAGAGGGAATCCTCCCGGGGCTTCTCTGGCCTCCAGACGGGACCCCCCGGCTGTCTCTCTGCACAGTCCGGGCACACAGAGACGGTGAAGTCAGTGACCCGACAGGGGCGGAGACCGGGCTGGTCTGGAGCACGTGCTGACAGGAGGGCACCGGTCCACCGCTGCTGGCCAGCCGGCACTCCGCCAGACCACTCCTCGATCGGCAATATTTAGCCGTCATTAGCGCAGGGGGACGGTCGGAGTAATTGACGATGTGAGTGGACCCTCGCCGGTCACGCGACGAGACGCTTTTAAACGGGTGAGAAAGTAACACGGCGTAGGGACGGCATGGGCATGACGGACAGAAGGGATAAGTGCCGATTCAGCATTATGCTTAAATGTATACAAATGCAATTAGATAAGGGTTGAGAACCATGTGATACATTGGCACATTCGTTGGTCTTAATGTGGTCAAAGATGGCTGCTTAGATACGACACAATTTGATTGTTGCCGTTGCAGGCAGCTAGGCTACACTTTACATTCCTTATACGGTCACCTCTAAAGTTCGAATAATCATTCATCAGGTTGAAGGTGCGGCGACATGTTCAATGGCTGGCCATTTAACCACACCCTGCGGTGCAGTGTTAAGGTCACCTATTCTAATCCCTGTAAGACGGCACATAAAGAAGTCGCCGCAACGAGTCGCACCGCCCGCTGCGTCCCCACAAAGACCGAACCCAGCCGGCGCCCGTGTCAGCGGGGCCGTCCGGCAGTGGCCCGCAGCCCATCGTCCGCCCTGCCGGAGGTTCCGACGGGTTCATTGTCGGTCAGTCACTCCGCGGACGGAAATGGTCGCTGCACGGCCGGCCAGCAGCCCGGTCTCTGTGTGTGAGGGTGACCGGCCGCCAGACCTGTCTGCCTGGTAACAAACCGGTGGGCTGTGTGCGCGGCGGCGGGGTGCGTACGGCTGCGGGCCGGGCACCCGCCCAGCCAGGGTCGAGGCCGTGCCGCCGCACAGTGTGTGACGTCACGGTGCACACAGCGCGACGCTGGCTGATGCAACGAGCGCCTGCCTGGAGCCGCCGTTAGCCGCCTGTCATGGTTGTAGCCGCGTTCCGTTAGCCCGGCTCTATGACCGTCTCTGTGAGCCACAGCACATCCATGGTGTTCTTTCGGTCCCATCAACGAGCCGTTGTCTGTTCTAGATTGCATCATTTGTGAGCGCAGTCCATGCCGGCCTGCGCGCCGGCTGCTACAGGGAGCCGTTTTTGGCCCATGTTTGTTTGTTCGACCACACAACGCTTCGGTCGAGAACGGCCCAGAGCAGCTGTGTCTGTGGCTGTTCATCGCCGGTGTTACTCGGAACACTGCGCTCTGAATAGTCGCTGACTGGTATTCACAGCTGCAGGGTACTGAGAGTTTCGCGGCTATTTAGCAATGCCCTACGGCTACCGAGCGCGCAGTAGGGGAAGCTTCTGGGAACAGCGTTCGTCCTAGACAGGACCATGTATGTACTGGGGGTGGGAAAACGCTCACTCAGTCACTCAGTTCACGTTCTTCATGTGGGGAGAAGTTCTCCGGCTGCAAATGCCCCGAAACATGGGTCAAAACGTTCACCGAATTGCAGCTGAAGTTAGTCATAAAAGATATTCACTGAAAGAAGAGTTTGACAAACGAAGCATTACCGGATATTGTGTTGAAGGAATATTTGGCCACTTGGTAACTAATTGCATCAGCACTGGGTTCACTAGTAGAGGCGAAAGTGGTGAAGCCACTGCAAAATTCCTATTACCGGTATGTTGCACTTCTTTGGGTGTAATGATGTAAAATCGCATTCTACATGGTATTATTTCGGCGTAATCAGCCACGGCTGTCACTGCACTGCTCTGGTGGTCTGGCATCTGAGATTTATCTCCTACACCAACTCTGCGAATTAGAGCAACGTCGTGTTTGGTGTTCTAAGCTTACATAAAACTGGCTGGCCATTAGCTGAGGCACCCATGACCGTTGATGTTTTACCGATGCGTCCGTTTGTATGCGTGTGCGTTGGACCTGAATTAGCCTCCCGCTGGGTCTTCTTCCGGGCAATATTGGCGGTCGGTGAACCCACAGGTGCGGTCTCGGGTCGGTCACCACCCTCCTCCGAACTGGGGAGGGGCCTGTTCGGAGGGAGGGGAGGGACGAGGTCGGCCGCCGGCCAAGAGGACGTCGAGCGAGCCGGCGGCGCCGACAGGACTCGGTCGGTTCTGGCACAGGAACTGGGATTTCCTCGCGGTGGTCTGGTGTCACCGTCCCGTCGCCTCTCTCCCCTGCCGTACAGCTGCGGGTGCTGTCGAGAGAAATGGCACAGGGTGTGGCAGAGGTGCTCTCAGAACTCCGCACAATGGGCGACTCCAAGGAAGAGTCGCCCTAAGACGAGAAGAATCAGTCACCCGGCGGGCGGCAACCGCTTCCCTTCGAGATAAACATGTCATCAGTCGTCGACTGTCAGCTCCTCTGCGATGGTGTTGGCCCAGTCAAGGCGAATTTTCTGTGAAGGGGTCAAATGGATGGTGATGTTTTTCCCTTTCGTAAAGGAGGTCAGGTAGGAACCCATACCGAGTTTACTCTTACTGTCACTTCCACCTCAAGTGAAGCTAGTTCAAACTTCAAGTGTATGTGGGATCAGCGGTTGTCTCGCTGAGAGACCTAGGTACTGCAACATGTCCACGGTTCGTGTAGGGTTTCCAGTCTACGTGAAGGTCAGGATCATCGGGAAAATGTGGATGGGGCATAATTACATTAGGGCTGGAAAAAAACGGACAGCCATTTTGTTAGTCGGCAAGACGGTCAGTGTCAAGCACCCGACGACAGGAAATACTAGGAACAGAACATTTTGAGTCAGAGCACTAGACGTTGATGTAACTGAAGCGATGAAAACCGTGCCATCTCCTAACTCCCGCGTGATGCTGTGTGACTCGGCGTGACGTTGGTGTGACTCGGCGAGACGTTGGTGTGACGCTGCGTGAAACAAAGTGACGTGTCCGGCTGTGACTCGCGGTCAGTTCCGAGTCAGAGCCAGGGGAAGTTCGTACTGTTGTCACAGCAGTTTGAGATTAATAGCCCGTGCCTGGCTGAATCCCTGGCAGACAACTCGCGTCCACTCGAAGATCCTGGTACGAACACTGTGGCTGCCAAGTGTCACTGACAAAGCGGAACAGGGGATGAAAAACATGGTCACATTATTTGCATGATGTTTCATGGGGTTTGTAAAATGCAGCATAACATCCATCACGATGCAGACACCACTAACGAATGTTCTCGGGAAAGCTCTCCTATCTCATCTCTCCGGATCGCTTTAGCAGCCCTTCGTACTACAGGTGAGCAGCTGAGCCGTCCCGCCTTGAACCGTAGTTTCAACTCCGACTCGCCTGAGCGACCACTGATAGCCCCGGGTTGCGATGGAAAGTCAACAGCAACGACGTCTCCTAACCTGCGGGCCAACTGACCGACATGAGATGAGACCGTATCCGGCCGTTCGGGTCGTCGATCTAAAACTTTGGTAGATAGTCTCAGATGTGGCTTCCAAGAAACTTTTGATCGGATGGTGGAGAGTGACTCACAGGGTTCGAAGCCGAGCTGCCTAGTTAAATGACCCCTTTCGATCCCATTTCAGCATTATTATATGAAGAGTCTTTTAGAAAACGAAATTAAACGTGTTTTAGAACGATGATAAATCCAAAGTTCAAGGGCTGGAAAGTTGCGTTGTTAAACTTTATAACACACATAAAGACATATTCTGCCTCATGAACTGAGAGGTCGACATGCGGACGCGGATCTATATTTCACGTGTCCTCTGCTTTGCTTGATGCGGCTCGCTGTGAGCCGTGGCAGCAAGTGAGGCGTTTATAAGATCAGAGGAAGCAGTGAGACGGGCGGATGCTCACTGGACGGCCCAGTGACCCGGAGGTCGCGCTGTCGGAGACTGCAGCGGGCCGTTCACACCAGCGGCGATGGAGCTCGTTAGAGACCGCTCAACCGAATCCGCGGCCGGCTCCTGCCTAGGGCGACAATGGGCCAATCGCTGCCGCTGCTCTCAGTCGACGGAGCAATTATCGGTAATAAGGCCTCGTCGGATTATTGTGATAGGAGGCGCGGTGGTCCGCACACGATCGTTGCGGAGTCTGCTCTGTCGGGCACCCCTCCTCTCATCGTCGACCGCCGCCCCACCGCCACCCCACTGCCTCACCGCCGCCAACGACGGCTTCGTCTGGCGGCCGGTGACGTCACGCCAGTTGGCGCGCGCCGCATGGGGAGGGGCATAGTAGGCGGCCGCTGAAGGCTATATAGCTCGGTGCGGGCGCCAGCCGCCAGTAGAACCACCAGACCGCCCGCATCGGACCGTCCCGCGTGAGTCGCTACCAGCGCCGCCGTGTGCCGATCAGTGTCGGTGGGATAGACCAGTGCAGAACACATCCAGCAGACAGCAGCGTCAGCCATGACCTGCGGCGAGAGCTCCAGCTGCCAGGAGGTGAAGCGGTCACAGTCGTGCCGCAGCCCGGCCTCCTCGATCGCCAGCCGGAGGAAGATCTCGCTGGTGCACTTCAGCCCGGTGCCGCAGACGGAGGTGGACCGCGACTGCCTCCAGTTTGACGAGCCCGCCGAGCGGCTGAGAAACTTTGTGTCCACCAAACGGGGAAGGATTGTCAATCGCGGCGACAGCTTCCGCCGAGAGCGCCGCAAGTCCAGTCTCAAGAAGGAGGAGCTGGTGAACGCCATCGCTGCCGAGCAGAGGTGAGTCGTCCGGGGTGGCTCGCCTTGTGGGAGGGGCAGGGCAGTCTTCTTCGTTTGATAAGCGTGTGTGTGTGGGGGGGGGGGGACAAACAAGGACATGCATTGGTGACCGCTGCTGATAAGGCGGATAAAACTGTTTGATAGATAAAGGACAGGTGTTGCCGTTTCAATCTGGAGTTCAGATATGCTGGAAGTCCTTGGTACTGATTGTGATCGTTTACGGTTACGCTTGAAGCCCGATGTATTTCGTATGCGATGACATGTCAAAAGCTGGCTTAGATGCCAGCTGGCCATTGCAAAACCCAAGTTCACTTCACTGTTGCAAAATTTACGTACGTCACGCACTTCCAATGAAGGGGCTTGCGAAAGCTGTCAGTGTGAGCCGTAGCTGTCTGCTAGAGAGCTTTGAAGCCATTCGTACGCCACCAACAGCTCCGAACGGTTCGCACTAACACGTTATTTTGGCAACTGGAGATAACGTTGAACTCTGAGCTGACGGGTATACGCATTAATCATCGCTTTTGTTCGCTACAGCGAAAGTAGATAACCCGGACCACCAGTGATGAATCTCAGCAGCTAGTAGCATTCGCAGCTGCGGGGACGGATATGCTGCAGGGTGCACAATGCACATAACTTACGCCGTGTCGGCAATGCCCGTGCCGATGGGCCTGTCCGCGACACAGCCCATCCTGTCTGTGGCTCCCGAGGTCGGCTGGTGCCATCCTTGCACTTTGCACGGTGCACCATGCACGGCGCTGCGACTGCGTGCATACCGCGGTACCAACTAGGTCAAGAGGTCTGCGAAGGCGGCTGTGCGTGCGTAACGAACAGCCCGGGGGTTTGACGTCGCCACGGCCACCCTGACCGGCCCTTGGCCATTGGCCATCACAGGACCGGACCCACCGCCCAGCACCGGAGCGGACCTCGGCCAGCGCCGGGCGGGGCCTTTGATGGTCGGTGACAGACGTCATACCGCATCAGAGGCCCGGCTTAGAGAGCTGCCTGAGAACCGGAGATTCAATTAAGGGCTCAGCGACTGCTGACCTTCACCGGACAACCGGCGTAGCATGTGCAGCCATAAAAGTCATCGGTGTACAAATCTCCTCCCACATCTGACGGGTCTGCACGTCATCAGTACCGCGGCGACGTCTGCCTGGCAGCAGTCGTGGCGTCACTAGGGGCGGACCTGTCGTGCAGAGGGGCTCAGCGAGGCCCCGACACGCCACTCGGTGCGGCTCGGACACGCCACTCTAGATAACAGCTCCGTGTGCAGGAACCCCCGGCGTCAGTGGGACGTTCCGCGGAGGTGATGGTGGGCTGGGGGCGCCCCCCCCCCCGGCGGGGTGCGGTTCCGGCCGCCGCTCCGACCGCCAGTCATATCCGGCCGCAGCTAAAGGTCAGCGGTGACCGGGGCCAGCGGGCTCGGTCAGTATGGACAGCACGACCGGCACGGCCCCCTTCATCGACCGACGCCAATCCGGCGGGCCGATCTGCCGAGGGGTCTCCATGGCGGCATCCTAGGCGGGCGTGCAGCTGAGAGGGCTGTAGTTGGGTCGAGCAGCTGAGGGTGACGTTAAACCCGGAGACGTTAGCAGACAGATGTCAGCCGACACTGCCGGGGGGCTGTATGCTCGACAGGTCACACCTGCGGCTGTAGGGCTGCCAGACACGGTCTGACAGTCCGGGCCAGGGCGGGGAAGCAGACGCCTCCACCAGCTGGCGATATATCGGAGAGATTGAAATGGCGCCAGGCTGCGTGATCTCTACACATCAGCTTGTTGGCAACGCGGGTAGACACAGGAAGTGTGAGACCGTGAAACCAGGAAGCGTGGCGCCGCCTGTTTACGTAACACTCCAGTGAGAATTGACGACGCGGCGCCGCCATATCGCTCAGTCTCAGCACCCGGTCTACTGCGCATTTCGGTGACCTTTCGACGGGGGCAGGCGCTCCGGGCGGGCTGTTCTTCCGAGCCCCGTGGTCGGCAGCGACAGGCGACACCTGGCGCGTCCTCCCTCCTCCCCCGTCGGCACCGTCATCCTGTCGCTCGCAGCGCGGCTCGCGCCGCCGCGACGGCAGCTCGATTTACGGCCGTAATAAGGGCCGATTTTAGCCGCGCCGCTCGACCACCGGTCTATTCTGGGCGGCGCCACCGAAGGCCGGACGGCGCCTCCGACCACCGCCGCCGGCCAGTGCCACTGCTATTTATGACACGCGCTGTAAACACCACTGCGTGCCGCTGTGTGCGCTGGCTGGCCTCCACTGCCTCTCATGGTACGCCAAATCATGCGCCAAGCTACCGGGACTGAATATCTTCATCAGGTGTGGCCAAGATAAACACATGTGAACCTTCAGAACTCAACCCCACCGATCCAGCAGCCCACTTGTAGCCTGACCCCGACCTGCCCGTGGCCTGACCCAGCGTTCTCTCCGTCTTTCAGGCGCGATGACGAGTCAAACCTGCTGACCCGCTCGGTGACAATGCCGGCCATGCCGGACCCGCTGCGGCCCGCTGCTGACGAGGAGAGGCGCGTCCTCCTGCTGGGAGCTGTCGGAGTCGGCAAGACGGCTCTGGGCCGCCAGTTCCTCACCTCCGAGTACACCATGGCCTACGAGCAGACAGTTGGTGAGTGTCGCAGCAGGCTGACCCTGGGGAACCCGCCCACTCGTGTCGTCAGAGGACGAGACCGTCTGCCAGCGGCCGACGCGGCTGGCCAGGTTAGGCTAGCCCCTAGCGACGATGCGTTTATAGAGTGGCGAGTGTTGATCTTTGTTCCCGGCGGGGTACTAGTCTGGCCACCTCCAAGAGCTGCCAGTTGACGTCATCGAGTTCCGACGGACCCTGTCGGATCCGCCTCCCCGCCAGCGTTCAGTCGAGCCGAGCGACTTAGCTTACCGGATCCCCGAACTGAGGATAAATCGGTCCCCGAGGCACTGCCGCCCACGGGGAAACCGAGCACTGCGTGGGATCCTGCCTGAAATAGGCGCAGCTCGGGCCTGCCGCCCCCAGGCTGGGTTTGGCATCACATGACTACATGTGCGATGGTCAAACCCACGCAAATGAGTAATAGATACGACCAGAGAAAATGAATATTCGTGCGTCATCGCGCAACCCTGACTTTTTGATGAGTGATGATGCAGACCATCAATGTAGGTACCGCGGTATTTCTATGCCATTTTCTTGCAGCGCTGTTGCGGAGCTAGCTGACCCCACTGACCCATCGTTTCTCTCTCTCCTCAGACTATGACCAGACTCCGAGCCAAGTAAATGTGTGTCTGGACGGCGTCGAGACGGAACTCACCGTCGAGAAGAGGACCAGCTCAATTCTGGAGGTGAGGACAGCAGATCGGGTGAACCGGCCGTATAATTCGTGATTTGACGCTTAGCTCCGTGAGACAAAAAGCGTGATGATTGGGCCTAACAGCGGGAACATAAAATGTAGCACGGTTGATCAGTCGAACGTGATGTGTTTACAAAGATTAATGTCAGGATTAGAAATACAAGTATGTCTAAGCTACATCCATGTACAAGAATTAGAGCAATAAGCCGGGATTCGTGTTGTGGGATTGATGAGAGTGGCCAAGACCACCTGCAAACTCATGCCGCTCCCTTTTGGTGGAGTTTACGCCACTCCCAATTCAACAACATGGCTTATACCTCATCTCTCAAGTTATCCTCATCTCGCTGAACTATAAACAAGGAAGTCGACTGATCCCTCTCTCGTTCCTCCACAGATGCCCGACGAGGCGGCCATCCGTACTCACGACGCCATCATCGTCGTGTACAGCGTGACGGACGCCGGCTCGTTCGGCGCCGCGCGCGGCCTCTGCCTCCGCATCTCGGAGATGTCCGCGCGCCGGCCCGTCATCGTGGTGGCCAACAAGTGCGACCTGGTCCGCCTGCGCAAAGTCTCCTCCAAAGGTCAGTTGCAGAGGTCATCAAGGCGTTTGGGGATTCAGGGAGAGGGGTTGAGGAGGTGCCGGATGCTGCCGTCACGGAAATGGTGCCGGAATTTAAACGAGACAGAGGCGTCCCTGAGGACAGAGCCGAGTGCCTTTGAGAATGGCATCAATAATGCTAGTTAGGCGGTTCCTTGAACCCGTCCTAGCTCCGCTCAACATAGTGCGCCGTCGCAGGCGATCGATGCGAGCTATTTCTGTCGGTTCGCTGCAGTACAAGTGCCGCTGTCTGACGACTGGTGTTCTGCCTGTTTCAGAGGGTCGATCGCTGGCCGTTCAGTACGGCTACAAGTACATCGAAACCTCGGTGGTCATCAACTCAAACATCGACGAGCTGCTGGCCGGGATCGTGGCGCAGATCCGCTTCTACCGTCAGTTCGAGGAGCTCGACGGTGCGGAGGACCGCGCCAAGCTGGAGCGGCTGCGCCAGAGACGCGAGAAGAGGATCAAGTCGCGCACCCTGCCCTCCACCATCGTCAAGGAGATCTTCCACAAGGTGATCGGCCAGAAGGCGGCCGAGTCGCGCTCCTGTCAGAACCTGCTCATTGTTTGAAACTCGCCGTGTTGGAGTGCCGCTCAGCTGCTGTTATCATGTGCTTCTCATCGCCAGTTGAACTCATTGAGTCATACGGACATACGAACAATTGGTGTTGCGGAACAATGTCTACGAAATCGTCGCATGCTCATGATATTGTGTAGAGTATTTTGACTGTGTATGTATTTATGACAGTAGGTTATATATAGTGTTTTACATGCCCTGTCTTTATTTATTTATTCATATAAGGTCAGATTTCGTACGTCGTTTACTTGTTCGGCAACTGAGTTGTGTCGTACGACGTTTCTTTTGTGTAACTTGACATCCACCATAAGTTTTTGATGATAGGTTACTTATCGTTGTGTTTTGAATCATGCTGTTTTTGTTTGTGCCCCTGCGTGCGATCATATAAGTTATTTGTCTCCACGCTTGCTTACCTGGGTGGTAATATATCAGTACGGATGACGATATGATGATTTTTTTTTTTGTAAGGCGATTGAAATGCTAGCGCATATAATAGGGTCGATATGATCAAAGCGCGTGAGTGAGATGGTTTCATCTTTGACAAATCTATCAGACTGAGAGGATATACGACCTCCTCAGTCCTCACTAACAGAAGAGAGAAGGGTCCACACAAAACTACACCATGGGCCGATAGAGAACTGTTGATCAGGAGATGCCCACAAACAGAAATGAATACGTGGCTACATTCATATATATTACAGAGGCATAGCTGAGCAAACACTTCCTGCTTTGATAGCGGTGGAAAATTTATCGTTCCGCTGCTGCACCAGTGTGGCGCAGTGGGTGACTGTTGTCTCCAGTATACCAGAGTCAGACCTAAAGGGGGGTTACACCAATTGCTGGTCACTGTATGAAGTGAGCATTATAGCGGCGTCTGTCCTTGAGAGCAGTCGGCCGCTGCACTGTCTGCAGACTCCATTGTCGGCGGCTGATAGAGGGTCGAGCAGCTGCAGAGGGGAGAAGGGGTTGCAGACCAGGCCGGCTATTCGTTTGGATGACACTGCAGCAGTGGAGTACAGACGGACGCTGTGGGAATGTAGCCTCCCCAGTCCTTGCCGCTGGGGACGGGATCACGGACTACGAGCTGTCTGTCGTTTGCTATTGGGCGAAAATGGGAACAGATCGCAATAAGCATAAATAGGGTTCGCTTTTAACACGAGTTAATGTATGTAACTACCAAGTTGTATGAGTGGCCATCCTAATTGTCTAGATGACGATGCAAGGAAAAAGGATCAGTGCACATTCGGATTAGGGTACCTACTATCACGAATTATGTAAGGAGTTCATCTTAGGGTCTACCATGGATCTGGCTGGGATCTGTTGGTGATCCTAGCTCTCAGGAGCTTTTAGTAACACGATGGCAGCAGCATGCCGCTTCATAATACGATACAGCGCACGACATTATCCATGAATGTCGACATTCTCTGTCAAAATGAGTTGAGTACTCGAGCAGAAGATGAACACTGCACAATTCCACAGCCACTGCAACGTCAGCATTGCTATAGGCAGCGACAGCCTCCGCCAAAGGAGGGCGGGGAGAGGAGGGGCGAACCCGCCGACCCGGGAAGACCGAAGACGTCAGATCCCGTGACCTTGTCTGGAAGGTTCCGTCAACACCAAACGACCGCCCGGTCACGCCGGGAAATAAACTCCTGCCGACAGACTGTCTGTTGACAAACGACTGACAAACGGCTGACAGGTCAGTCCGACTGCAGGAAGTGAACAGTCAGAGCTAGACGGCACCGAGACAGGAAACCATACCCTTTCTCCTCCACACACTTAAGTATCTGGCTTCCAATACTTTCTTCCTGCTCTTCATGTCTCAATCTTTCTCGCCCTCTACTCTCTACCTCCCTCCCTCTCTGTTTCCCTCTCTCTCTCTCTCTCTCTCTCTCTCTCTCTCTCTCTCTCTCTCTCTCTCTCTCTGCCGCTCTTTTCACCCTTTTTCAAAGGTGGCTCTACCTCTACACTTCTGCAGCATATAAGACACTCATCTAAGTAAAAGCTCACCCCACGCAAGAAACTTCCTTCCTTCAATATTATTTCGCTCGTTTATGATAATCGATAGTTTATAAACCAATGGCATTAGTTGGTATTCAGTTCAGCCACCCGTTCATAATCCGAGATCAAGTAGGGCGTTCGCTCGGCCGTTTTCCCAGAATGGTTTGATTGTTGACTGGTCCTCGCCGGTCTATTTATGGCAGCAGCGATTCCACGTCTATATAAAGGCGGCTCGGCCCGGGCAGCCTGTATGGCCAGAACATTGATCCAGCCTAGCTGGGGCGCCGTACGTAATCGTGTTCAGCTCATCGAGTCGTCGATGTCAATCATTCCGTGTGTGTGGTCCACAGCTTCATTGAGAAAAAAAAAATTATTCCCCTGGAACACCTTTAAGGGTGTGTACCAAACTGCACCTCGCTGGGGTGTCAGACGGGTGTCACTTTTGACACCAATACAGGTGTCATTGGGAATGAAACACCGGGTGTCTGACACCCTTTTAGGTGTCTGACACCCTTTTGGGTGCACACCCAAAAGGGTGTCAGACACCCGGTGTTTGATTCCCAATGACACCTGTATTGGTGTCAAAAGTGACACCCGTCTGACACCCCAGCGAGGTGCAGTTTGGTACACACCCTTAAAGGTGTTACGAGAGTGTCCATTGGATGCCAAAAAAGGTGTCGACACATTCTTACATTTATTGGTTCAAACAGGCATATCGCATACATACATGGCATTCCTATCTTGTATACAGCAACAAACTATAAAGTACAAAAAAAATATGGGCTCTATATTTACGGAGAAATCCAATGAAAACTCACCGAAACACATCGGGTCCATTCACAGTGAGAAGTTGCTCGCATTTCAGCAATGATAATTAACCGTCGATTATCTCCAACCAGATGTTATTCCGCAGTTCACTTGCTTTCGTTTCCATGGTGCAATGCTGTGTTGTCATCCTCACTCCAGACCTCAAATTTCACCGAGTACCGCCCGCCTCGTCATTTGAATAAACACGGAGCAAGCTACAAATAAAAGCTAAACATTATCATTAACGCACAATCACTTGAAGAAGTACACTGCGAACAACGTTCGGCGCCACTATATCCACATAAATTCAAAAAAGCCCTGCCATCACTCACACCGCACACGCACCACGTGGCCACGCCGCCGCCAACTGAAATCCAACTGAAATCTAACGGCTTTCCTGCAAGGTGGCGCTTTTTGATCTTCGCAGGGTTGACGCCGCGTGACCAGCACACAAATGACGTCACACAATGCAGCTTGCTGATTGGGTAATGATTCAAACCACTGGACCTGCTGTGGTTTCTAGCAGTGCTACGGAGTCAGAGTCGGAGTCTGATGGAGTTGGCAGTTCTGGCCGGAATAGGAGTCCATTTTGGAAGACAGAGCGGGAGTCCGAGTCACTGAAAATCCGTTAGACACCGCATCCCTGGTTCCTAACACAAGTGACGTCAGAACAATTTATGTGATGATTTAGGTTCGAATACACGACAGCTTTCAAACATTTCATGACTCATACTGGAATGTTCCTCAACAAATGACAACACACGTGAAGGTATCACAAGGGTATCAGATCCCTTTAAAGGAACATTTTTTTTACACCTTTTGAAGTGTTGATGGTTTAGGGTGTTTGACACCCGAATGGATGTTGGTGTAGGACACCCATTAATGTGTCTTTCTGAATCCCATTATGGTGTGTTTAAAAGCGCGTTGCACTTGAAGGTTGTCATCGTGGTGTTGTACACCTCCATGATTTCCAAAACAACATTTTTGACACCAATCTGAGCGTTATATATGACATATGCAATGATGTCCGACACCCGTGAGACACCCCATGGGAATATTTTTCCTCATTTTTTTCACGCTGTTTTTGGTGTCAGATCCTTTTGCAAGTGTCAATGTGACACCTCTAGCAGTGTCGGACACTCTTAACATTCCGCTTCAATAAATGGCAACACCTGTGAAGGCATCATAAGGGTGTCAGATGCTTTTAAAAGAACATTTTTGACACCTTTTAGGGTGTTTGATACCTTAGGGTGTTTGATACCCGGATGGGTGTGGGTGTCGGACACCTATTAAGGTGTCATGCTGAATCCCATTAAGGTATATCTAAACGCTCGCATGCGAACGAACACTTGAAAGGGTGTCATCGTTGTGTTGTACACCTTAATGATTCCCTAAACAACATTTTTCAACACCAATCTGGGTGTTCAATGACACCTCCAATGGTGTCTGACACCCGTAAAACACCCCTGGGGAATAATTTTTTTCTCAGTGTTGGCTTAGATTTCATTTGCAGTCACTGCTGGCGAAGGCACATACCGTATTGCGTGGTGCGTGTAAATAACTGATGTATGCATAGCGTTATGAGTAATGAGTAGGTAGGTCACTGGGCAGTGGGCAATGGACATGCACGATAGTAATAGCCGCACTGCCACACGAATAAACGTATATTTATTTTTTATATATTCGTCCTTGTATTTATATTCATTTAATATTTATTCACATGTTCATACGGTTTGTAACATTTTTATTTGTATTAACCCTCGCCGGCCGAGGGGGGGGGGGGCGGGTGCCGCCCCCCCATAGGTTTTTTTCGCGATAGCTCCGAACACGCTGGCGATAGAGAGCTGAAACTTGGCATACCTGACCTTTGAATCAAGCCGGATCTCTTGACACCAACCGCATTTTTGGGTCAGGTCAGGTCACTGACCTATGACGTCATAAGTGAACCTCTGCACGGTCTTCAGATGTCGCAACTTCGCAACGCCCTCACTGCCAGAGGAGATGTCACAGGGAAATGAAACTTGCAGGATCTAGTATCCATTATAAGTTTCACAACTTGTATATCTCGGATTTTTCCTAAAGGTCATATGAGGTCAGGTCATTTTCGTGACCTAACCATTATAAGTCAATGGGGAAAAATGAAAACTGCTATTCTGGCGCCGGGAAGGATCTCCAACTATCTCAAGCACACAGAATCGTTATTTGATGCACTCCTTGCAAGGTTAGATGCGTCACTTTTGCAATGTTGACCTTGCGTGACGTCATTTATGACGTCATCAAGGTCATATTCGTTTTTCGTCAATAACTCTTGATCAAATTGAGCTAGCGAGTCGGGAAAGCCACCAATGGACTCAGGAAGACCTGCAGAATCGAATGATATGCGACATGACCTCTTTCGACCAACTTCGTGACCTGGGGGTGCTGACCTGACCTTGACCTGAGGTCAAAACCCTAAGTTGACCTGACCCGAACAAAAAGTATATCATTCGACGCGCCTGAGCGAGGCGAACACGATGCTGCCAAAATCGCGGCTCTGCGGCCATTTTTTGCGAAGTTATTCACCAAAAACTGAACCGTACCTTGGGGCACTTGACCTGACCTCAGAGGTCACCGGTTGACCTAGGACCTTAAAAT